AAATCTGTATAGTATCGGTTTCATAACGCCTATCTAAAATGACAACCAATAAGACAAAATGTCGGAATTTTGAATGGAAAAATTACAAAAATAAACTGTTTATTGAGCCGGTTTTCTAATCACAGTCCAGGACAGTTTTTTTTCCCAATTTATGAATTTTCAGGTTAAGGGTTTCAAGACAAGGAAAAACTTTGAAATTTTAAAAACATTTTTTATCAAAAAAATGCCAAATGAAAGCTGATTTTTATTTGGTTTTCTAATCAAAGTTTGAAGCGATATACCAAAGAATTTCAATACATAGTTAGAAATGTTAAAAATTAAAATTATGCATTTTCCTTATTTTTCCATATATTTTTTTTCAAGTCACATTCTTCTGGGTTAATACCTTTCTATATTGAACATACCTTGTGTCAAAAAAAATCCAAAATTTCAAATATTCCATTTCTATATTTTATGCCTTGTGCCAATAATAAATTAAGTAATTAGCATGAGAATGTTAAAATAATAAATTGATTTGAAGAAAATTTAACATCATAAATCATAAACTTAATGATTTTATGACATTATTATGATACATGCACATTCACTTGTTCAATAATAATGACATCATAGTCGGCTCCTTTACCCTATTGTGATTCATAAAACAGCTGATCGCACAATAACCTGATAGCTTTCAAAAGGACGTGATGTATTATTTCGTAAGACGCAAAGCGTCATCAACTATTTAGCAATGCCTAGAAAATTTTGCAATACTGGAAATATACCAGTAATCTTCGAAATTTGAAATGCCTTATTGAACGTAAAGTGTACAGTTTGGATGGATCATTTCATTTGTTGTTATTCTCATGTGTAATTTCAAAGTTAGACTATGATCTAACAAAAGCTCATAAATAAACTTAGTATTTCGTGGAAAGAGATTATGTTATTCCTATTTATCTTTATAATACGATCTCGTTCAAGCATCCTTGTGGCAACTGACACATACGGATCACATACAACGTAAACAAGGAGAAAGGACTTGCAGTTCAATACACAATACTCTAGTACAGGGCTACTCAACTATTTTCCCTGAAGGTCCATTCACAAAACTTCAAAATTACTGGGGTCCGCACATTTCAGTAAATTTATTTTATGAAATAAACAAATGCATTATTAAATTAAATACAAGAGCAATGAATGTCTCACAAATATGGACACAAATGTTGCACATCGGTACCAGTACGGCAAACAATATAGCCGTGTATGTTAATAGTATCAAAATCATCAAAAACTTCGATTCGCGGTCCGCCAGTTGAGTAGCCCTGCCCTAGTACACCTCGAGCGTTACCATGATTTAAAATTATATGACTGATATGAGTGTGAAACAAATGGTGTCCATAAAGTCTTAAAATTATTTGAAATTGCAAAGGAAATTTATCTATACCATATATTTATTGTTTTGGCCTTCACAGATGTATTAAATGAGGTAAAAATACTTGAACAATTACTGATTGAAACACAACAAACCTGGTTAAGATATATTGAGAACCGACTTCATAACAAAATTGAACTTGTAAAAGGACTTTAAGGACAGCCTGTATTGAGTCTTTTAGACTTTGGAAATTGAAATCAAAAAATAAAAATTAGAGCCTTCTAGCATCTCCAAGCACTGAAAATTTAAAACGAAATGCTCCATTATTTAGTTATGGAGGTATTTTTAATTCATGACGGCAAACCATTGCAATTTATACAAATTACAAAGTCAGTCAAAATATTTTCAAGTGCCCTCATTGTATCACAGCCTATATGAATGCGTGGGCCTCACTTTATAGTAGCACTGATTATATCTGTTTGGCAATATGACCGGGTATTTTTCTGAGAGGGAAACTTTGTTGTTCTGTTAGGTGTAATTTTAAAGCGTTGCCATGAATTTAAATGAATGGCTAATATTTGTGTGAAATATTTGGCCATTTAAAGCTTGAAAAAAAAATTTAAGTTGAAATTGTTTGGTTTTCACAAGGATTTTTTTAAGGGTTTTTGGTTGTTTTTCACTGTTTTTGCAAGGTTTTTGATGATGGTTTTTCCCTGTTTCTGTGAATTGATTGTGAAGAAAAACAAACCCTATCATGAACACATCACGCCCTCCAATCACTGCAATATACACAAAGCCAGTCAAGATACATTTCAAGTACCATCATTGTATCACAGCCATAAGAGTTTCAACAAAACAGATAAAACAAACCAGATGCAGTTTCAAAAATAACAAATTAGAAGCGCTTTGATTGGTTGAAAATAAAGGGGGTGTGTCTGGTGACAGCTGACATAGTTGTGAAGTTGGAACAAATTATCTTACATTAAAATAATTGACGGTACATACACTATTAGTTAAATAAATTACAACGTGTGTTATTTGGTATACTCGTCTTTTGGATATAATTTCAAATTCTATGTTCTCATTCCACATGGACTTAGAATGTTGAATAAAACACAAAAAGCTAGCTCATTTACAATAATCGGATTATTCCATATACTTATATATGTTAATCTTATCTTTATTGTATTTCTGGCAACTAGCATTTTCCCAGATAGCTGAGCATGACCAGTGATGTCATCAGTTACAGATGACTGATTATGGCCAATCAGCTGTGAAGTTGAAGTATGGTAGTCATGTGCTCTCGTACTCATAGGAGCTCATTCCTGCTGGTGTGTCTTGGGAGTTGCTTTGGATTTGTTTATGAGAATTTACTACATATACGTTTATTCTGAGCAGGGATGGCCAATTCGAATAAAGTATTCGAATATCTCGTCATTCGAATATCGGAATTAGCGTTCATAAGAATATCGGATATTTGTGTGACGTCACACATTTTCGACGCCGCTCTCAAGACGTTTCCGTTGAATGAAAACATTCTCGATAGAAACTTGCGCGTGATTGTTTTCATCACTCATCAGCGTAACGTGTTATTTAGGCTGTAAACGCCTTTACATTTGTGTTATTTTCTCTAAAACGAAAATTTTCCACAAATTTGTTCCACGTAACGAAGACAATTATTTTATTTTTGTACGCGCACGGAATTGTGAATCTGGTAAATACGTTCATCGGCGGCGAGTTTCTAAAGACAACGCAACTTTTTGATTGAAAAGCGGCAATTTAAAATACTGAAAATAAAACCGTAAACAATATAAGTTTTATTGAGGCCCGCGAAAATTTGAAAAACGCTTTTCTAGGCAGTGAAAATCGCAGAATTTCGTGTGCCTCTGGCACACATTATGTTTGGTCGGCGTTTAGAAACATATCGTCACGAATTGAGGGCGGGATTTGCCTGATTATCCATTACTTTAAATTGCCGTCGAATATTTTCAAAGTATTTAATCAATTTTATTTTGATGAAATAAATTTCACTCCGAGATGTTACAGAAGATTTACGGATTTTTCGAACGGTTTTATCTAAAAATAATCAGAGTGGCAGCATTTCGATTGAGCGGAGACACTGTTAACAAGTACATCTAAATATTTGCCGAATTCGCAAAATACGGATCAAAACATTATTTAATCGGGCAGTTTACCACACGTTTTTATTTTTATGACCGCGGATTGCAATGGTATATAAGAGTGGTGAGGATTTTATTTTGTCGACGCAACCGCAGGTTAAATTGAAGACAATTAAATTAATAATGAAGCAAGACATTTTAAATATGCCCGTATCGGTCACGAATTCATCACTTTGCACAACAGAAAAATATATTGTTATATTATTTGTTGTAAAAGTCGACTCTTTTAACAGGTGGCATAATCGCGGCGATGAATACGTATTTTCAATTTACTGCTAAACTTTATATTTATATTCATTGTATGAAATGAATTATACTCTACACTTAACAGGATTTTATATCATTATTTGAGATTTTTCTAACGGCGATAACGATTGGCAAGATTGCAAAAATACGTATTAAAATTAAATACATCAGGCAGTTTATCTCGTACTTTTAGGTCACAGATCGCCGTGGACCGAATAGTAATTTTTTTTTTGACGTAAGAAGAAGCAACCGCGAGTTACGTTGGACACATTAAATTAATATATAAAGATATTTTAGAAACTCGTAGTTGTCATGGATTGAATATTTTACGTAACAGGATGATCATTATACGCTGAAAAGACGGCTCTTTTAACGAGCGCGGAATCGCGGTGGGTGTTACCAAAGTCACTTTGGGTGTTACAGGCGGCAATGGGAATTTCCGATTTCGAAAATCCTGGCTGCGCGGCTGGCAGTGGTGGTCATTTATCCTCTACTAATTTATTTCTAATTTCAAACACAACAATATGTTACACATAATAACAATATGGTTCACATAAATTAATATACAAATATACTGGTAGGTAGTAGAATACTCTATGCTTAAATTTAGAATTTTTAAAGGCATAATGGATTTTCGATTGTTGTTGCTTGTTTCAGTTGCCTGTATTGCCAATAAATTTTATTACTCTCAAAAATATACACAATTATCTGAATACAAGTAGTATTTTTGTCAACAGACTTGACTATTATCATAATATCATGGTACCAATGAAGAAAGCGTCAGACAACTCCTTGGCTATCTTTTCATATGGTCATTTGTACAAAGTGAATAATTTTAATAAACTGACTGTGTCACAAGTTGCTATTATTTTTTATTGATAGCTATAAACTATCAATTATCTTGTGTACATATATTGTTGGTTTGTGGCTTCATTCTGATATTTCTATTGAAGCTTATTTCCTAATTTACTGGGTTTTAATGAACTAAACAAAAATGTGTTATTTTCGATTTTAGAATGTATTCGGAATTCCAGATTCGAAAACATTATTTTAGAATGTATTCGGAATAGTTTAGTATTCGGAAATGGCCATCCCTGATTCTGAGGTAACAATATACTGGTCTACTCATATACTTCGCAATTTTTTAGTTAAAATTGAAACGAACGCTTTTTATAACAGAATGGTTATGACGTATCAAATTTTTCATAGTAACCATGACTCACCAAAATCAATAAATTGTTTCATCGAGAGCGGAGTCGGGCAGTAACGGCTATATTTCTCTATGAGAAATGACAATGATTGAGACGATTGCACTGCTGCCGCGCTAGTGGTCAACGTCTTCTTCCAAGCATGTCGTTGTAATAATCGACAGGTTAAATTCATCTGAAAGATTATAAACAAATTTTTAATATTTTTAGGACCTTCATATGAGATTTGAACCAGGGGTCTTTGAAACTGTGTTGCCAGTATAAATTAACTCAATATATAGCGTACTTTAACTTTTACGCCTGAGCACCTAAAAAATTCAATTTATCAAGCTTAGATAAGTTTATTGATAGTAAGTATTCGATTTAACGTCCATCTTAAAATGCCATTCTGAAATGCTGACACAGTTGAGTCCAACGCTTCATCGGTTAGACCATATACAGCACGGCATCGGTTCCAAACTGGGGTCTGGGGCCCACAGAGCAGTTGGAGAGGGGCCGACATCTTGGGCGTAAAACTGATCTTACTTTTCCCTTTACAAGAAAACTCCCGGCATAAATTGGAATTTGGCATCTACTAATCATAATAACACTATCAATACCAATGAAATGATAAATAAGGGGGCCATCAGTGCTATCTCAAAGCGTCCGGAAAGGGGGCGTAAAAGGTTGGGACCACTGCAGTATGGCAATCAATCAATCAATCATCATTTATTGGTCAACACAAGATCCGCGACTGAGTTTACAAAAGATGTAAAATAACAAACTGTATAAGGTAAATTCATCAGATATATAAAAAGTTACTATACTCTCCAATCCCACAAAAAGATCCGACATTAAAATTTATATTATCATCGAGACAAGAATGGCCCTACTGATATAGGATACAACTTTATACTGTTATATATGTATAATTCCATGACCTACCTTTATTTCGCTTTCTTTTCATTCAAAAATATAAAAATTGACTAAAATGAAGCAGATATCCTTAAATAATCGTTCTTGGAGAAATCCGGTAATAAAGTTGCTTTATCATTGATATGTTTGATGCATAATCACAAAGTATCTATTCTGTAAGTAAAACTGGCTTGACTTGGCTTAAACCTATTCATTCAAATCTAAAAAGCTGGAATAAGATAATTTATATTTTACTCTAGATACAAAAATATGACAAAACAATATAACAGTATGAACTTTTATCACCATTGAAAGTCGACAATTCCGGAGGCTAGTTCACTAAACGCCGTCAAGTACTTCTAGTTGGTGCGGCATAACCATTATTGCATATGTCATCTTTAACCCCACCTGACTACGTCATCCAAAAATTCCGTCACATAACATAACATATACAAAAATTTGGTGCCACGCCGACTAAAAGTAATCACAGCGTTTAGTGAAATGCGCCCAATTCCAGAATTCCGTGTCCTGAGAAACACGATATTTCGATTCAGACTTCAGGACTTTGAGCGGATGAAAATACTGAGATATAGGCTCAGAAGCTTCAACTCCCCCCCCCCCCCCCCATTGTGATAAAAATCCCATCTTTTGAATGTGGCTCCAAGAACTGAATAAAAACATGATAAACTCAGAAACTTCAACTTCCAGACTTCACAACTCTTTTACAGTTTCCCACCGAATTCCCGGTAAAACTAATCATAAATTTTAATCTAAAACACTAATAAGTCATCAATTCGACTGGCTTGTCAGTACTTAGAGTCAAAAACCTTTTTTCCTCCAGGAGTTAGTGAGTATGACACACTAAAGTTTAAAAAACTTTATAATGAAATGCAGCAACAAGCTGTCTTCCAGAATTTAAAGCTCTCCTGGCAGTCTGAGGTACGGTCAGCTAATTTAGTTTAATATGTAAATCCTATCCTAATAAAAAGTTTACAGTGTACCGGTGCTGACAGATTGAAGTCTATATAAATTACAACACGAATAAACGTATTTTATTACCAGTATAGTTTGAAAAAAATTAAATTAGACCGGAAAACTGCGGTAACTTTCCAGCAGCTTTCGATAAATCGCGTCGTATCACGAACTTTCTCTGCAGCCGGCTTTGTTTTTTGCCAAATACGATTCCCGGAGAAACGGAAAATAACAGAAACAAAACCTGACTTAGAAATGAGCGTTTGCAATCATGCGAAACAAAATAAACGAGAAACGCAGGGTTTAATTGAGCTGGAATTTATCTTCTGGTTTCTTTATTTTAAATGGTTTTCAGTTAAGATGAACTGACGTGACGTCGGCACGTAGTAGAAGGCGCTTGGAAAAAACTCTTGCCAAGCGCGTTAAATACACTTTGTGGATTCACATGCAATGGCGTATATCCGTAAAATCGCACCCATGCAAAATTGAAAATTGCGCTCCCTTCATCGTTGAGTGACAATTTTAACGACAGTTGTTAAATTGGTATATATGTACGTTATTATCTGAGTAAAAATACAAGTTACAATAATTTCCGATTTGAAATTATTTTATCGAAACATTCTACGAATAAACCTTTCGTCCCAATCTCACCGGCTCCGTTACCACCTTGCCCGCTATACCGGTTAGTCCATTGCAGCATAATTGAAGCAACCGCTCGTCGGTTAGGCTTTTCGTCCACGAAACTGAAATGCCAAGTTGACAATCCAACTAGACCCAATCAATCAGTAAGTACTTATCGATCTTGATATTAATTAATTAGCGATGGGACATCGGTGTCGCCATTGAGTCAAAGCGAAGGATACACGCCGCTAGATCGATAAGTCGGCGGTCTCCAATCGATATCTCGTGTCGAATTGGTAAAATAACCTGGTTTAGTGTGTGCGATATTACTAAAATATTATTGTTTGAAGCTTTTCTATCATCACATTGTATTGTATGCATTCGGTTTCGTTTTCTGTTTGGCTGTAAACTTTTTTTCATGATGTGATGTTTGACTCTTTCCTCCTTTATTTTTTACCGTAATTACTATCATCATGGGTGTCGCTGCTCGTTAACCAGTTTTGGTTTCTCGCGTCATCTTTCCCCCTGAAATGCCAAATTCTTTTCTTTCTATTGTTCGCATAAAGTGTATTTTTCTTATGGTGATAAAACGAATACTGATTTTATGAAGTGGCATATTTTCTGAAGTTCAGTATAAAATGTTATTTAGCAATGATCTTTGTATTTCTTATAATAATAACAAGAGAGCAATGCTCAGATATATGGACACGTGGACCAGAGCGAAGCATTCCCTACCTTTGACATTACCGGTACCGTGTCCTCAAAAAACTTCCAAGTTTTCAGTCACAAGAATTTCCGCAGTCAGCCGTCTCGCTTGCCGGATTAAAAAGTGATACAGCGCAATTTTGGATGAAATATCAGATCTCATATGAATCATGGAAACCTTAAGAATAAATAAAAGTAATAGCCTTCTGGCAAAAAAATCAATCTTTAACCACTCAAAATTTCCTATCCTATCTAAATAGGATCTAAATAGGAATCCTATCAAAATCCTATCTAAATAGTTTTGTTATCTTCACCCTACCTTTCTCTGTTTACCTTCCTATCATAACATACAATAAACAACATTGGCGCTCCTTCCGTTCTATTACGAGTGTGGTGACTAGCCAAGTGACTCCCGTAGTATTTAAAACCTGGAATTATGGCTTAACCCTAACCTGGTACACATACTACGTTCCGTTCAGAACAATAGTCGGTGTCAATTCTCTATTGTTCATTTTATGTCGATTTGAATCGGGACACATTGGATTTCCATTCTGGGACAGTACTCTTGCGCCCTCTCGTATCCAAAATTTCTGATATACGGGGTGTCCATAAAGCCCTTAACAATTTAAATTTTGTTACTAAGTCAGTTCTCAATACATTTTAACCAGGTTTGTTGTTTTTTCATCAGTATTTTTTTTTAAGTATTTTTACTTCATTACATCTGTGAGAGCTAAAACAATATATGGTAAAGATAAATTCCCTCTGCAATTTTAATTTTGTTTTAGATGTTATGGACACCCTATATATTGTTTGTTGTGGTTGAAGTCTCGATACATACCGCAACCCATCGAAAGGCTTTATGCTAGGTATGAAAGCGTCTTGCTTGTGCAAAACGAGCTAACTCAACAGTGAATATCTTGTAAATCCTACATTCTGGCTCGGCGGTGTGGCACATCATGCTAAGCGTTAGAAATACGCTCGCCATCGCACCTCTGATTACCCTGCGTGGATTTGCAGGTTCGAATTCTATGCAGGGATGGTTATGTGCGAGAGGATTTCTGAACTCCTCGCTGCCATAGGGTAGTTCACGTACCTTGCTGGTCGGTTACGGCTTCCTCCACCATCAAGTTCACGCATCTGAAACGAATGACTGGCCAACTAATCACATACCCAACATGGATTAGTAACCGGCGAGAGGTCGGTGTTCGCCATATGATTAATCTCTTTTATCGATATTTCTCCCCTTCGTGATAAATAACTGAATCATAACTTATCTGTTTCTCTTGCATTTGAATCCGTTATCCAAACACTCATAGGTTTCAATTCGAAATTGCAATTATTACCGCTGCCGCAAATCACAAAAAACGGTAAAACTGTCTTCGAGCATTTGAAATGTACTGTCTGTCAGAACTATCTCAATTGTTATGGATTTATCTGTAGAAAGTGCGCATTTCCCTTACAAATAAAAACCATTTGTCCGTAGCACCCAAGCGAGCCACAAAACAGTTGAAGGGGGCTACAATAATGGGCGCAACACTGGTTTTTTCTGTTGATCAAGAATTGTTTGAAGATAATGAGATTTGGAATCTACCAATAAAAAAAACACGAGGAATTCTTCATCAAACATTATTGGTTTTCAGAATATTTTTATTTGAATTAATATATTACAAGTCTTCTCGTAGTAACAAAATCTGAACAGCGGTGGGATTCGAACCCACTCCATCGAAATGACTGGTACCTTAAACCAGCTCCTTAGACCGCTCGGCCACACTACCCCTCATCTATCAGCGTTAAAATGTATATTCTATTTCAATCAAATTATGAAAATAGAATAATACGTATGCATAGTACGTTGTATAGATGAACCTTATTGCAACCTCGCGAGCATTGCGAGTGGTGGGATTTATGTCTGACAATTAAGAACGAATTTATATCTTTATTTTTTTAGTCAACATTTAGTATTGTTTAAGGAAAAGTACTCTGGAGATGCCGGGCATCGATCCCGGTACCTCGCGCATGCTAAGCGCGCGCTCTACCATATGAGCTACATCCCCGATGCCACGGACGGATTGGATTTCATCAAACATTATTGGTTTTCAGAATATTTCATTTGAATTAATATATTACAAGTCTTCTCGTGGTGACAAAATTTGAACAAAATTTGGCAGCGGTGGGATTCGAACCCACGCCATCGAAATGACTGGTGCCTCAAACCAGCGCCTTAGACAGCTCGGCCAAGCTACACTCCATATATCAGCGTTAATGTGAATTCTATTCCCATCAACTTATGCAAATAGAATAATATGTGTGCATAGTAACGTTGTATAGATAAACTTTAAGCTTAGCATTGCGAGTGGCGGGATTTATGTCTGACAATTAGGAGCGGATTCATATCTTCAATTTTTTAGTCAAAATTTAATATTGTTCGAGAAAAGTACTCTGGAGATGCCGGGCATTGATCCCGGTACCTCGCACATGCTAAGCGCGCGCTCTACCATATGAGCTACATCCCCGATGCGGCTATGCGCGTTCAAATTTCATATACTCTTATATAAAAACACAATAATTCCTTTTCTGAAAAATAGGTTTGATAAAGTAGGATATCGTAGCGTAGCCGGGCGTTCTGAAACGTCTGAAATTTCGTTGACATGTGCAGAGTTTGTTGATATTGTTCCCTAGACTCCACGCGTGTCAAGACTGCTATTACATACAACTGTCCGCTTTCAAGTTTCTAGTACAGGGGTTATCAAACCTGGGGTTCGCAAACCCCCAGGGGTTCACGAGAAGATTTCCAGGGTACTCGAATGACAGTTGAGTTTGCATGTGTTGCTATTTTTAATGTCCTTTACTATCAGAGGAAAATGCGTGCCGATTGAAACTCAGCGTGAATTTTCCCTGATCTTAAGATAAGATAAGATTTTATATCGATTCATTCGCAAAAACAAGATAAACATATATACTCAAAAGATTAAGGCGAAGAATCTGGAAAGTGAACAAAACCTAATAAAATAGGTTTAAAACGTATTAAACGCGTTCACTTACCAAAGAAAAAAGAAAACGAGTCACAAACACAAACAAATAAACATGAATATTGACGGCAGTCATTACTCAGGCGTTTCACTTGGTAATCAGGTTGCGTGCAATCTTTTCAAAAACAAAAAAGTGAATTAAATATCCGCTGTGCGTGTGATGTGGCATGTAAACAAACAGTCCGAAAAATCCTAGTAGGAGGTGCGAATGCATGTTTCCGTTCCATGCTCAAACATATATCTAGTAAAATCTACTAAAACGTTAACACACCAATGAAAAAATCGATCTTAAAAAATCGTAAAAATCGAATTTTCAAATATCAGTTCGTGCAGTTTAACCGTAGTAGTATATATTTACGGTTTAACATTTGTATATCCGGTCTTCTCCATATTTGAGCAGAGCATAATTTCGTCCATCACAAAATCTTCCATTTTGCACCCATGTTGCACATTTCCAGTCTTCCAATCTTGCGTTGTTGTGACTCAACAATGTGAAATTCACAGCTTTGCAGCCAAACTGAGTAATCCCAAAATACAATGTGCTGTTTGCTCCTCAAATTGAGAAACTTATTTGCAATGACTACCTTCACACTAATGTTCTGTATTAGAGAAATGAATACTTTTGTTTAATATCATTGAAAACAACGGTTCCCAACCTTTCTGGCGGACCGGTAAAATTAAATAAAATGTACTCGCGGACAGGCAAAAATTTAAATGAGTAAAATAGAAAATAATAACATATATTTGCGAAATGTAATGCAATGGTGGGGAATTGAAAGCATTCCATATGAATAAAAAGAAATAATGCGCCGGCCAAAAATTGATATAAGTAGATCAACTTTCTCCAGAAGAAACTTATTCTCCTCGTTCTTATTGAAAAATATCAAAAAACTTTGTTGGTCAACTGATCTCATTAATCCTTCTGCAGTTAGTAAGTGAGTGTTTATTTCGATTTTCCAATACAACAAAACAATACATGGCAAAACAAACAAATGTACGGAAAATCAGGAAAGTGGGCAAAATCTAAAAAAGATTTAAGACGTGCTGGTGCACGTGCCCACTTACCCCAAACAGCAAACAACACATTTGGAGTAAATTGAAAAAAAAGGAACACGGAAGATAATTCGGGCGTAAATACTCGGGTGAGCAAGTGCAGTTTTAAGTATTTCGCGGCATCTGAAGCTGCCGCAAAACCATGGCGGAATCTCCAAACCATGGCCACAATGACCAAACCACGGCGGCTAACTTTCAAGCTGCCACAAACAATGGCGTGAGGCGGGGTACCACGGCAGCAAATTGAAAACCACGGCAGGTGAAATTATACTGCCATGAACCGTAGTTACGCTGCCGTAACCATGGCAAGAGCTGCCGTAACCACGGCAGGAGCTGCCGCGGTTACGGCAGGTAGGAATAACCTGTGGTAGCGAAAGATTTCTCGCCATGAACAGTGGAAGATAGCGGGGAACCTTGTGGTTAATTGCGCATTACCGCGGCGGGATAACGGGGAGCGCGGCGACAAGTTGGTTGCTGCCATCAACTGAAGAAGCGAGATTAGCATTAAGTGTTGTTTGTTGTTTTGTTTGCATTCAAGAGTAATAAGGAAATGATTTGGCGTTACAAATGAAGTCAGCCTTGGGTGTATATTGCTTTGAAGTACCGGTAGGGTGCAGTTGGAAGCAGAGTTGGATCATTTGTAATTTATTTACAGTTTTTTATGTAATTGTAATGTAATGACTGAGTGGAGGCATTTTCATTCTGTGTAATCGTAACTGTAATTTGCTAAAATTCTGGCTCAATTACACTTTCAATTAGACTAAATCTTAGTATTTTGAAAATGGATGAACATCAAACAAACTCTTCCGAAACATGTGTTGAACCACTTCTTGCACCATTGTCAGAGTTTTTTAAATCTTTGAGCAGCACTGAGGCAGGCTGTAACAACTTCAAAAAAGGCTTCATCAAACGCACTTGAAGAGATGTTCTCCCCATCTATATCTATAAATAGAGGAAAGGACCAAGAAAATCAGAAAGTGATGTAAATAGCTATTTGGGGGAAGAAATTTTGCAATTTGATGAAGACCAATTAATGTATTGGAAGAAGAAATCAGAAAAATTTCCCACGCTGAATTACAGCAACATCAGCCCCGTCAGAAAGAGTTTTTTCAATTGCGGATAACTTTTATACAGCATGAAGAAATTTATTGGGTTCAGAAACTTTTCGCAGCCTAATCTTCATCAAGTGCAATCCAACAGTTCTTGAGCAAGGAAAAATGTATATACGAACCAAAATATTATAATTGGAAATGCAGTTTGATATTTTTGTAATGTAATTGAAACATTTAAGGGAGTAGTTGTATTTGTAATTGAACTGAATTAGTGTAATTGATCCAACTCTGGTTAGGAAGTAATGGCTGGTTGGAAGTAAGGTGCCATTACTTCCTCTGGCAATAAATAATGTTGTATATCATTTGCGCTGTGTCTTTTTTAGTCATATTGATTCAAATTAGATCGCAGTACTACCAGAGTAAAATTGTGTCGGTTGGGTTTGATTAAAATTGCATTTACTCTGCTAGGCGATTCATCTACAGTAGGGGTTCTCAACCTTCTACTTTCTGCGAACTGGTACCACTTGAATTTTTCCTTTACCCCGAAAAAGCCACTCTTTGTAAGAAAACGGGAATGGAAGTATTTTATAATGTGGCACTACATCCATTTTTTCAGGGACAAATTATAACCAGTTGCATTAATTATATGCAGTAACAACATATTATTTTCTCTTCGTTTCTGATTTCCCAATACAGACAGATAACTTTTAACTTAAAATGAAAACATGCCAGTCTCTCTCGTTTTAGGGGTGTAGTGGCGGGTGAGGGCAATCCGTGAAAACAAGAAATGGATTGCATGCGATAAAAAAGAGAGAGGGTAATGCTCTCATAAATTACCCAACATAAGGGTTTGTTGTTGCAATAATTTAAAGCTGATTGCGTACCACAGCTCTACAGTTGGCCCCTACAGCTTCTTGCACACTCACTATCTCCATCGTTGACACTGGAATCCTTTTACGACAAAGACACTTAGATATGTCAACTATTTGTTAAGACAATTCTCGAATATTTCTATAATATTTACAGGCAGATGAGGAACCTCAACTAGCGAACATCAAATTACAAAAAAGAAGTATGACATTGTGCATGTTATTAAATTTTATTAAAGAAAATTACACAAAAACTTAAGTTTTATGTGCAGTGTTCACAGAAAAACTCTTCGTTACCCGCAAAATCTGCGCAATATTGGTGGCACCACCTTTCGCATCCATCACATTCGACCTACAACAAAATTATTACTTTACTTTATCCATCAAAACTGCATCCATAAGGAAAATGTTTAACCTTACCCAAAGTGTGCCACCATCAGGGGCAGTCCTGCCATTACAGCCCACACAAAAGTGTGCCAGCTCATCAACATCTAAAAGATGAAGGAAAACAAATGTAGGATTGCAAATACCTAACTAATATAGTCATGTATATTCTTCCTCAGATTCTAACCAACCGCAAAAATGAGTAAAATTTCTTTGCATACACGATCAATATTGACCTCAATCCGATACTTAATTAACTTCCTTTTCCATTCCATTTTTCAATATCATCAAATTAAAGCTCTGGGCTCTGAGTTTTATAACCCACTTAGCCATGTTCAAAAGAAAGTTCTAAATATCATCAAAATATAGCTGTGTAAAAATGACTTATGCTTAGACCTAGTTAATAAAATAATAATGCACCTGTGGCTTCCAACAGAAGGTCTCCAAAATGGATTCTGTAGACTTTACAGATGCCTGTCGAATGATTGAAATCCGTTGTACAACCTGTTAAGATTGCTTCGGCAGCCTAGAATGTAAAAAAATAAAACAACTCATATTTCTATAGATTTGCACCAATGAGATGATTTAAAAATAAGGTTCCAGTTGAATGGTGGTGGTATCAATATAAAGTACTACTAGTAGTAAATGTTTTCACAAATATAAATGAAAATTTAAAGATCTACCGTAATGAGCCTGTGTGCATCCTTATCAGTTTAATAATACCACTATAAAAACAAATTGGACCCGATGTACCTTCACAACCAAAATTCCACAATTAAACCCATCTTCTTGTTCACTATGCTTGTTTGTTAACAGTCTCCAATCTCTTTTGTCACCTCCATGGTATTTCCAAAATTTCCTGGGAGAAAACGTAAAAAAAAGAACAGCCCTGATTAGTCCCACAACACATAGGAACAATTTCATTTCTAGATCCTTAACTTTTTTTTTGAAGTGTTCTAAGAACTGCATATTCTTGCTAATATGAGCTTTCATACCTAGCTTGCAATCTCAGTGCAAAAAACTCGTACGATCCATACAGTTTCGGTAATCTGTTTTTGATGTTTTAAAATTCAGATAACACTAGTAGAGATTTGAATGCATGACTAAAACATTGATGTTCTATCGTTGAACTCAATAAGGGCATGATAATTTAAAATGAATCTGTGAGTGTTTACAAGCCAATAATCATTTAGTCAAGCAGAAAACCACAAACCTCCAATTCTCCATCAGCGTTTCAGCATAACTCTCTTCATGGCCAACAGGGTCATAAATAGTGACACTCCCTTGAGATGGATCTGTAATCTGAAAACATGAAACTTTGTTCACAAGAGTAGAAGAATTTCTGGTTTGAAGAGCAATACAATACAGAATATGCCATATTTGTTTTGACGTGATATATTGAAACATTTTGTAATTGCATTTGAGAAGAAAATTTTCCAAAAGAATTTCATTTAAATTAACAAAGATCTAGCAATTTACCTACCATTAGAGTCCAGTGATTGCCATGGTTCACAGCACTCATAGTTGGTTTTTCAATAGTCAACTTGGCCTGGATGTAAAATAGGATGGTAACGAAAGCGAATAAACGATGATCAAAAATAATAAACATGTTATTTTACCAAACTTTTGTACTTTCGACGATAAATCCCCTCCCAAAACCACATTGTGGAATATAATGCAGACAGAGCGCTATATTGAGTATGACTGGTCCACTAAAAACAAGTTGATTTAGAAAGATTAACATAATAATAAACTGAGTCACTGATAAGAAATTTCGGACTGAAATATAATTTATGGAGATGTCACAGTTCCACATGGAATACAGAGATGAACAATACTAAAAGACATACCTTATGACAAAGAGCTGCAATTATTCCATCTATTATCTTCAGCAAAGTTGGTAGCATTTGAAATAAAAATAATTATTGAAAAACTATAAGTTCAATTTTATAAACAATCTTACACAAACTAGAAATGATGGTTACATTCTGATGGTAATACTCCTGTATAAATTAGTACTTGTGTACATGCATAACATCTGAGTGATTTCCAAACTATGAACATGGCTGTACAGTTCCTTTGTTATGTACACACTGAGTTCTTAACAGCTAAAAATCATTTTATATAAATATTCGTTCAAAATGTTCCTCGGTATATTACTTCTATTGGCAGGGTTAGCGCTGCTGCTGAATTTCCTTGCAAGACAAAGATTAATTTCTGTTCAATGGTTAACCTAATCTATGGCTAATCCCCATGAAATTTGAATTCTTTATTTATCGCGAATGTATAGATTGTTTCTCTCACTAGGCCTCAATGACGGTTAAACACACATAACTCTACAACGGGTGGAACAAATTCGATGAACACTTTTAAAGGAATTTTCACGTTCTATTTTCTCACTTTATCATCAAGATAGCTGTCACCCTCAAGAAGGCACATACACTCCTTGTCTAGCCCTTTCTTTGTATCTCCAACTACACACTCAATCCTATTCCTATGAGTTGACTTCCATAATTTCTGTATGTCTGAAGATAATATTATGCATAGCATTATCAGTAACACGTAATTGCAACGCTATGACTGATAACAAAACTGAATCATTCATTGAATAATAACGCCTCATAATAACCTCATAAAATCAAAGTATTGTCATATAGAAGGAGATCAGCTATTGCTCAAAAAACTATCATTCAGACAATTACCAAAATATATCAAATTTTAAAGAAAAATTTAATACAATGAATATTATAAAATTTACCATTAAATTTGGCAGGCAGAAAAAGACATTTTCTTGATTCATCACTATCTGAAAAATGTAAATGAATAATTAGAGATAAGTATCATACCAAGACATCTTAACGATAAACCAAGTAACTCCCACCTTTATTCTCGGAGTCATAAATATTACCATCACTGCATGAAGTTGATTTCATTTTTGCTGAACTGCAATGAAAAGTTTGACCCATAAGTATGAAGATAAAGTAAGAAAGACTGAAAATTGTGGATGACATTTTAATAGAAATATGAACTTCTTTGAAGGCTTCAGCATATTGTGAGATTGAAGAATGTACCATATAAAGCATCGTTAAATATTCATTTTAATCATTACATCGTTGAAACACATGGTATACTCATCCTCTAAGTGCAAATACTTACCAAAATGTCTGATCTTCTTGATATTGTGACACTGTTCCAGTAGTCATTCCACTCTGCTTTAATAGGAAGTAGGAATTTGAAATATGACACAATAAATTAACTTTGCGAAGCTTTCTTCGAACACAATTATCTGACCGAAACTCGTTTATTTCGTTATAATAAATAATGCAGAATGAAATTCTTGAATTTACAAGTTAATTAAAACAATACAATGAAATATGAGCGCAATAAAGTGGAATAGGGGGGAATGTTTGTTTCATCTATTATAGTTTGTCAGGCCAGACTCCTGATGTCAAATAACATGATAAAACTCACTCATAGTGAACATCCTACTATTTCAGTTTTGTGGAAAAATCTCAACCGTGACGCAGGCCGAAAAATTGCCTCATGGGCAGCGTTTTGGAGACTCCTGGCATAGATAATTTGATCAATACCATCATGCAAAAAATTCATAACTCCACATATCAAACTCGATACAATGCATTATAATACAAAAGCGGTAAGAGCAAGAAAAAAATTATCTCACTATATTTTCAGAGTACACATTGTCTTCAGGGTTGGCAACTACCTCATTCATAGCTTCATCATCTTCGTCGATGAGTAATTCTTCCTAAATTTTCAAACCTCAGGAAATATAATCGATGTAGGTAGGTAGTAGCATGAATTATAAGACACATATAATAGAATTCTGTTTAATTCCTTCCTAAATCTTATATTAGAAAAAAGCATTCCATAGTATAACTAAGAAATTGCTACAATTCATTTACAGGTTTGTACATTTACGATAACTCGAAAGAATGGGATAACATAAAGCCATTAACATTTTAAAGATATCTTTTATACTTGATTAATGATATTGTCGGAAACCGCAAAAGCAGACCTTTATAAATCGTAAATGTCTTATTCTACTTTTATTTTACAATACTATGCATTCACATGAAAACAAATTTAATAATACATGCATACCTCTGTGACCGATCCACTGGTTCCATCCAAAACGTTACCTAAAATGAGGTGTGTAGTGAGAAAATATATCCACATTACTCAATAACATGAAAATCATGTACCTTTAACATCTGGTATAGCAATTCCTTCATGATTCCTCCGAATTTTATTTCCAAATTGAGTCTTCATTTTTTTTTCATATCTTGAGTTTATGTCTTTATTACGCAGGTTAATGCTAACTCGCGAAAGCCAAAGGAAATTGGTAGTGTCCATAGAGCAAACTGAAGATCTACAAGTAAGGTTGTAAAGCATTTTACCAAACATATTCGCACAGCATGAACTCTTAAAACATGTCAATATTCAAGCGATTCATCTCAGTAAAATATCAATTTCCAACTATCTTGAGTTTTTTTATACGTGTCATAGCATCAAATTAATTTTCTGCCTATTAACATTAAATGGTCATGCTTTATTGCCTCAAAATAATCGACAATGTACATCACAACATGAGTTAAATAGTAATATGATCCATCTACCATTAACAATATCTTTTCAATAAGCAAACTATCAATACATCCTCGATTGAAGCATTTGTGTAATAATGGCCAATCACTGAATAGTATGAAAAATGTCAAATACGACATGCCACAATTGGTATCTGAACTGGAGAAATTTCCCATCTAGCAAACAAACAAACCCTCTGGACAAAAAATTGGTTTGTTGAAAGATATTCCTCGAAAACCTCAGTCATCAGTTTTCTAAATATTGTGCATTGATTTAGGTCACATATACAACAGTGTTTCGGAAGCTCTTGTACTGTCATTTCGAGGCCACCATACCCTGGTTCACTTCACAATATAAATATATTAAAAAAAAGAGGGGTGGTTGAATAAGATGGAAGCTTGCCTATCTTTTGCCATGTGAGCATTTTCCTGCTCTGCCACACTGGTATTTATGTTCAAATCAGAGCAGTACTTCAAGTTGCGAAAAGAATTTTCTGCGGTCTTTTTCTTCGATCTTGTATGGAACCTATCACAGAGGCTGTATTTTTTATGAGCATCCAGTTTAACCTGTGGTAGAGAGCCATGTTTTTCCAATTCAAGATTTTTGTCAGTATATGCAAACAGCATTCCTTTATCAGGCCCAAAAATACCCCTTTTTCTAGCCTCGCCATGATGGGCTACCTGAAAACAGATAATAGTGTTTGAAGAGTATTCTGACCAAAGTTGGAGGAATGAACAAAACATATTAATATAAGTGAAATGATCTCTTTCAACGAAACAGTAAGTATATTTGTGAGCTTTCGTTAGATCATGGTCTAACTTCTTCAAACAATACAAGAGATAACTTAATCGAATAGCGCATATTCGGAGTACCACATACGGATCCGAAGTAGAAAGTAAACAAGGAGAAAGGACCTGCAGTTCAATACACAGTATCAAAGTTCCCTTAATATTAATATAAATTACACATTATTTGTGAATACTTTTGTATATCAAATATAGAATATTTAAAAATATGTATATCCACAGTGACTTAAACTAAAAAGAACTCACTTGGGAAGCAATGTCAGATATTATAGCATGAGGTTGTCTCTTCAGGGACAATATTCCGTCAATATAATCTCTAGCACTTTCCTGTCTTAGAAGATATTTCATATAATAGCATATCCCATGTGGGCAACGAAAATGTACAATCCCTCCTAAAAAATAATGATGAAAATCTCTTTCAAGCCATTTGATCATGCAGCAAAATCCCAAAACATTGTCAGCTGCACAAGATATAAATAAGAGCAAGTTATTCATTCCTCTTTAGTATTACATTGTAATAAATCATAGCGATAATGTAGAAAAGATAAATACAGCAAAAATGCAACCATTGACATTAGACCTAAGTAAGATAAACATTTCTTTAATAAAACAATAATACCAACCACCGCAATGTTTTATGCTTTTGTACATCTTAGGGCATACATCCTTAAACAGAACCAGCTCATTCAAAGTATTAACAAGGTCTTCTGAACTCCCTTTGCTACTTATACCCAAGACTTCACACAAGTCTATCAAACGAGAATCAGATGTCTGCAAAATAAGAGCAATTGCCTCAAATAATAGTTTTTAAATATATAGCTATAGTTTTAAAATATATATATCTGTACAGTATAAACACCAAAATTAAAACAAAAACTATTGTAATTATTGCAGTGTCAAATTTTTGTTTTTAAATCGAGGCATTTGGTCATTTTTGACTATTTGTGAGACAAAAAGGTAGAAAAAAGTATGCCTACAAGAGGAGAGTTTATAGCTTGAAGAATATCTTCATGAGAGACTTTGGAGTAGGCTAGAGGCTTTTCAACAACTGGCTTGTTAAGAATAAATCCTTTCCTATGCTCTGTATTTGGGACTTCACTTGAAAATCGGCATTCTGGAGATATCCAAGGTGCAACTGTGTTGTACATTATTTCCACTTTCCATGGATTCTCCTTACAGCCTGGTTATTCATAAGGTTGAGATCAGTGAACTGGATACATAAACTAATACAGAAACTATCAAATAACATGTGAAACGTGAACAAAAGCAAAGAAAAATTTAAAATAAAAGCTAGGTAAAAACCAAATAAAGTTAATCAATAATTTTAGTGTCAAATTTCCATAATTATGATAAACTAGGCCACTTGAATGTTTTTAAACAAAACAACGTGGTATTGATACTGTCGGATTGTCCACGAGATAGATCTGTACGCATAATTCAAGTAAGTAAATGTATTCCTGACCATAAAATCCTCTTCCTATAATTTCCATCTGATATTTTTCCCAAGTTGCGTCTACATCAATGAGGTCACAAGTATTTTGGGTTTTGTCAACGGCTTCAACTGTATGTAAACGAAATACCAAATTTACAGCTTGTGATATTTCATCAGCTATGTTTTAAATGCGCAGCCAAATAATGTTGCTAATGTTACCTGGTCTTCTGCACGTGTTTTTCCAATTACCATCACATATCAGCACTGTTGGATATATTCCACATTTCAAGCAACAAAAGTCGTATTGATAGTCTTGGAGAGCCAAAAAATGCAAGAACGCATTCCTGATCTTATTATAAGGAATAGTTTCGATGAACAACATTTTTAGATTGCTCTCGATTGAGATATGATTCTAAACAGTGGAATTAAAATTGTATTTTATAGTATAACCTTGCAAACCATATTTGACCAGAACAAATAATGCAATACAACAAATATTTATGTGAATTTAGCACACGCCTTTGAGCTGCTTTGTCCATAATAGACCAGTAAACGGCAATAATCAATAACTCACTTTCAGTCCACGCAGTAAATAACAACACAACTTGAGACTCAATAAAACACTATTGTCAAAATTATGAAAACCTTCTTCATATTCTTGATATCTAACTTCCATTCCACATTCAGCACATTCCTTGATGAATAATTCAGTTGCTGTGCAAACATTTATAATAACTCGTAAAAATAGTTGTTAAGGAATAAAACATAGAAGCATGATTTAAATATCTTGGTATAATATCACAGGCTATTATCTAACGTTTCGACTTCGTATTTTACAAAATTCGACAAAATTCGTATTTTATACCAATAAGAAGTTTAAACCATACAATGACAAGCATTCATACTTTTCCAAATGTGGCCCATTCCATATGCTACTGTTCGTTTTTTATTCTTGATGCATAAATCCTCGTTGCACTTAAGACATTTTTGTTCAGAGGGAGTCAGCAAAAGCGGAGGAGAAATGTCACGCAAAAGACGCTGAGGTATTTCAGCTGGAATTCTTTTTTTTGTTAAAAAATACTTCATCATATAGTCCATATTATCAGTCAGTGTATGACAAATACTGTAAAAGATGTGAAGCATTGTAAATGAGAAATATCAGAAAATGCATCTTGCCAAAGCAAGTTCTACTATGTTAAAAAATACCTAATCCAAATATTTATAAAAAAATATTGAATAGGCTACAACAGAGGTGGCCAACCTACTTGCGACCGCGATCGACTAAAATCTAGTTTTCAGTCGTAAGTGTTGAATTTCTCAAAAAAAACTTGCTTAGTATCCATGTATTATCTAAATAGCAAAAAATAAATATTCGCAAACCATAACAGTTACATGATTGTTGAAACTTCCTGATATCCTCTTAGCTCGCCTAGAATTAGGAAAAATTGGCATTCTGATGCGACTGCTACAGTTGAGAATAAAATTTATCACACTACTCCCGGAGTGAGACAACTACGTACTTTCCACAGAGCGCAAGAGTTATCGTACGATCCTACGTTAGTTCAGGCAATATTCAATACTCGATTCAGGCGACACGACATTCGGAACGCTCATTTTCTTACTTTTGGCAGCGGCAAAACTTTCTTTCGTTGCATATCGCATAATAATTTGTTCAGTCGGCCTCGCTTGGGTTCAAGGACTATATGTGTATATCGTATTTAGCGCGGTGCGCAGTACTGCGTTATTTCTATTATAAAACACACAACATGCGCTGCATGAAACTGGTTAAACGCAATTTTTTAAGATATGTTACCGAATTTTCTAAACATCAGACGAGATCGACCACTCAGAACGTGGCGATCAACCGGTCGATCAACGTGTTGGCCACCCCTGGGCTACAACATAAAAATGAAATAAAAAATTAGGCATTTAACCAATCTGTCCAATAAAACAAGGAAGCACACATGCTACTAAGTAATATTGCTGGTAGAAAGGAAAGATGAGGTGAATATTTGGATTATATAACTAATACTACTGCCAGAATATAATTCATTATAAAAGAAAATACACCTATTATGTATAAAAATGCTTTAAATAAACCTGGAAGGGCGCTTGATCCATTCAGGTTGTTGCTCCAATAAACACCACTTCGCTACAGCCTCATGGTAACATGTCGAACTCATGCCCGAGGTTGGACAAAGGCACGAAAATTCCCCATTATCTTTATTGAAAGAAACTCTTACCCTCTACAATGGTGCAAAATATTGAATTTTTTCAGTGTAAACGGAAAAATAGATTGTTCTTGTTTCGAAACCCATTGTTGAAAAATCAACAAGGGCTACAGAGTGCAGCAATCCTTTTCACTGATTTCCTTCATATTTTTGCACCATTGAACCGACGAATCATTCAATATATTAAATTCCCTTAGTCGGTTTAGCGATGACAGTTGCAGTTTGTTTGTCGTTAAAATTGAAGATTCAGAGATAGAGTCCAAATGTCGACATTGGATTCCTGGATTGACTGTTGAAATGGCTTTGATAATTGAAATACAGTCGTCATCAGTGCACATAATTTTTTGTTTCAATGTGTGCTTTTGAACATGAATTGGAGCAAGTGGGCCAGAATCACTTTGAGCAACCATATAGATTCCATTGAATGTGTCAACACATACGCTCGGTAAAAGCTGAGTTGCATTGTGTTTAAGTTGAGCATGTCGCCTCAATGACGACTGATGCCTAAAGCGCTTGTCACAAGGTATGCATTGAAAGTTGAAAGTACCTGTAAAGTAAAAGTATGTAAACGAACAAGGTCTAAAAATGTGAAAAAAATATCGAATGAAAATGAATCATGTAAAAGTGGTAAAGAAATAGATACAAATCACAAAATTTCAATGCACGAGTTTTCTTGACATACAATAAACAATTATTTATGCTCTCATATCTATAAGCGGACACCAACTCAATACCTAATACTTGCTAAATATCCATTAGAACATCTTTTCAATCATTAGCTTACCTTCACATAGACTTTCTGAACTTTTGTTTTTAGAATCTATGTCCATATCCCTGACTTCTTCACTTTCAATCACACCCAAACAATCTACACAAAACATTGAAATTCCAAAGTTACTGTGTTATAGCTAGGTACTCTATTTGCAAGAAATAAGCCACAAAATAGTTTTAACCCTTACTCTTAGTAAGCCTCCTGTGGTCAATCATAGAATTTCTCCGTCCAAATATTTTTTCACAGGAGGGACAATGATAGTGACTCCTGGTCAAAGCACTTGTTCCTCGCTTCATACAATCTCTTCTACAGGGCATAATGAAAGCTAAAATATTTGAAGATATACCGACTTATAAAATGTCCAGTCATCACAACGAAAGATTCAGTAATTATAGGCTGTACCAGTAATACTGTATACATACCTCTTTCATCCCATTGATGATATGAACAGCATATTTGATATGTTGAGTTTTCAGGTGGTGTTGAAAGCCACCTGGTGTTGTAAATGATACACCGATACATAGTATGCATTGGTAAAAATCATTCACTTTTATGCACAAATCATCAAAATTTTCTGATTTTGTCTTAAAATAAGTATCTGCCATTTATTACTTAATAAGGTGTTTCAAGATCTAAACATATATGAAGATACTGGTAGATACTTCAGTACACATAGTCTACACAGCCAAATTAAAATATAATTCAACTTATCGTAGGCTACCTCGTGAATACTAGAAATTTGGAGATACAGAAATAATCAATCAATCAATCATTTATTTTTATTCATTTATATTTATTTCAATAGGGCAGTAAGGTACCTAGATTACCGGTACCGCATTCTGGCATTACCCTACTGCTGTACTGGCAAACTATCTAGCTATCAAAAGTCAGAGTGATTGTTAAAAGACAGAGGCTTGCATGGATAAACAGCTCACAAATCTTACGACTCTGTAACTGAAATTACCAAAGTCGCAACGCACTAATGCTGTAATGAGGCACATTGATACCATACTCACCTGCCAATATCCATAGTACAAAAACCCCAGATACTGCAACATACATGGTAATAAGGCATACCGGTAAATATTTTCTGAAGCTGCCCTGAAACCATGGCAAAGCTGCCGCGGTAACGGCAGTACTTTTTGCCATCGCCGCGGTATATACACACTTGCCACGGTTTGCTAATAACCATGGCAAGAGACGGCGTGGTACGTTCGTGGCAGGAGCTGCCATGAAGTGGTAAGAACTGCGCCTCCGGGTGAGGATGTGGCAAACAACACATTTAAGTAAATTGAAAAAAAAGGAACACGAAAGATAATTCGGGCGTAAATACTTGGATGTGGATGTGGAGTTTTAACATGGAGTGTAATTCCTACTATATCTGTACATATAAATAACGAGAATTGTAGATCATAAACAAACAAGCAGTGCGCAATATGTGGTAAATAATTTGATTACAAACGCACTCAACTAATAGTCTACCGGACGATAAACAACAAGGATAAAAGCACCATTAAAGAAAACAACAACAAACGAAGTAAAATATGACAAGAGAATTGCCCTGGCGTTACAACTTCAGTTTTATTCAAAATTCATGTACTTAGTGTAAGTAGTCTTTTTTATACAATCTACCTTCAAATATTCGTTACATTTGACTGTTCATGTTTTTCCCAGCTTCGACCAGTTTTCCATGATAAACTCCACGCAGGCCAGCATTCAATGCTGGCCCAGCATGATCTGATGCGAACTGATCCATATCGTATCAGTACTGTATCCGACAACATCGTTTTGATTTAAGTTTGTATGTGTCTTCTCAGTAGGGTTTATATCCGTCTAATTTCCAAGTTTTCGTCCAAATATTTCCTACTCCAGTATTCCACCGTTGATATTTTACGTCCGCATCCGACGGCGGTCTCAACAGGAGCCAACATTAGCCGACACATCAAACAAACCTGCAGGGTCGCAACAAGCTCCTATTTTACTGGATGCCATTGCGAAGACCTGGAATACTGTCCATGACTCTTTTCTGCTTTGAACAAAGAAATATTCGTAACCTTTTAATTGGAAGTTCATATTGAGCAGGAAAAGCATGCAGAACAAAAAAAATACATGTGCCGATCTTTGGCTTTCTAAATTTTGCCAGATTTGCGATTAATCGGAACCGAAAAAGTGAAAAATGTGGTTACTCAGCGCTAAGACGTCGTCGGGCTATTGATACCACAAACAGAAATATGTCGACGAAAAAGAGATTGCGTAATAAACAAACACAACGCCGTTATTCCGGGTTCGGTAAAGCGAGTGAGACAACTGAAAAACAACAAAATTTTTCGCATACTGACAAAAATGCTCCCACTGCTGGTCCGCGGACTAGGTGGGAACCATTGCTTTAAAACACAGTTTAAAAATAATTAGTTAATATATTGAAACTTTATTTGGTGTCTGATTACTGGGGGTTCGTGTTGATTATTTCATGACTCGGGGGGTACTTAACAGGAATAAGGTTGAGAACCCCTACTTTAGTAGTTAAAAACGTGTGAAATCTTGGTCGTGTATTTTAATCTTCAGTTAAAACAATAACGGTAAAATCGATACAAAGTTCCAGTGAAAGTAAGTAGAACATCAGAAGACTTAACTTAGTTTGTGGAACAGGCTTATCGTTGCAGTTGAGATGCGTGTTGCGATAGATTCTCCAGTCGAGGGGCAATCAAGTAAACGCCCCAAAAATCGAAACGCGTCGTCCCTCACTCGACCAATCAACGGTCGACGCGACCCGGACCATGGTGTCGCTGTAAATGAGAGGACTTATACAAAAGAAATGTTTTTTGTATTGAAAATATATAAGCTTAAATCCGGAAAAATCTTGTAATAAAATTATAAATGATAAAATTTATAATATGATATTGCGATCAAAGTACTCTGGAGACGCCGAGCATCGATCCCGGTACCTCGAGAATGCTACGCGCGCGTTCTGAGCTACGGTGCTCGGAGTCGATATCCGCATCTCCTTGGATCGGGCGTCTTTTGGGTATCCAGGTCGCCCCGACTTCTTGACGTAAAACTGTTTTAAGATTTATATTTATTTGATTTATATATTATTATTATTTTTCTATTACTGTTAGACTTATGACATGAGTGTCGCTGCTCGATAACCAGGCTTGGTGTCTCGCGCCTCCCGTCACCCTAAAGTACCATATTACTTAATTTTTGTATTGTGTATTCACAATGTGTGCTTTAGAATGGTCGAAAAATAAATTAATGGTATATGTAAATACTGAGATAATAGACACATTCTTTTTTTTCAGGATTTATGCTGCTCACCAGTACTGCTGTTACGGGTGTGCAATGAAACTAAAAAAGCGGCAAAAAACATGTCCTGTCTGTAGACGAAATATTGATTTGGTTGTCAAAAATTATATTTACCAAATATAATGTAATGTATTTTAAATGTATTATCAACATTTCTTTTTGCAATACTTAACATATTACATCACATCTGCAGTTTTTACATTATTATCTCACTATTTCGTTTGAATGCCTAATAAGTTTCTTTTATGAATGTTCAGTTTGATAATTGAATACAATCTCGCATGCGAAGGTTTCAAATGGAAATGGCCACAGCGCAAAAAAAAGTATTGAATCAATAAATAAAAAGTGAAACTCTAAAAGGCTCACCATTTCCTATGACTGACATAAAAATAAACAAATGATAAAGACTTCAACAAGGATATTTACAAATATTTATTTAATATTATTGTTAACAAGTTGAAAGAAATATATATACAACAATTCGTGTGAAATAAGACAAAGGCAATTAAGCCACTGTGCCTCGCAAGAAATCGAGGATTTCCTTCAAGGCGAAAAACCTCTTTCTAGATCTCAGCAAATTACAAGAGAAAAACAGTTTCATTTTTATTTTTAACGTTTTTAGCATTTCCATCAGAAAATCTATATTATATGTGGCCAAATTTGGTCTGTTTTTCACAATCTCCCGTAATTGGTATCTAGAAAGATTTTCTTTACCTTTAAGAAAACCCTCTACTTTTACGTGGTAATACAACCACAGCATATCAGTTTGAGATATTATTCTCTTGCGAGAAACTGTAGGTTTAATTGCTTTTGTTCTCGCAGAATCTCTATCTGAACAGGATATACTTTTTTTCGGCGTTTGGTATGCTTTTGAGGAGGTTGAGGGTAGGTCCAATGTGGTGTCAATAACTTCTTCAGTTATTTCGGGTGTTTCGGAGGGTACGGAAATTCCGGAGGTTGAAGGTATATCAGAGGGGTCCACAAGTATGTCAGATTGTTTTTCCGAGAATCGGGTTTCAGCTGCCAATAAGTTTTGAGATATTATTTCTGAACCACGCAGAGCTGTGTGCTCCTTGTATAGTAAATGATATTTTTTTCGTGATATTTTCAATGAATGGCCCATTGCGCAGGGCCACATCTCTTTATTGGTATTCGGGCATATTTGAGGCCCGGGTTTCGGTCATTTTTCGCATTATTGTGATGCTGATGTTTTCGCCGAAAACTTTTGCCGGTGACGATCTGACGCACTTGTCGACCCGTTTTTGTTTCTTCAAATGGGTGACTAAGGCATACTCGTTATTATCTCTATCTTTTATATTCTGAAACATGTTGACCAGCTAAATATAGAAATGAATATCGATAGTTAAATATATTTTGTAGTATCGACATTATTTTACATATATTTGAATATTAGGGTATACTTTGCAGAGTTGTGAGTCCATGATTGAATATATCCTGTTATTTTACGTTGTATGTACATATAAAATTGTCCAATGGAAGCGAATGCGTTTATGAAGTTTTATTACCTTTGAAAATATTTCATAGTCTTCTAGTGACATCGTAAGAAAACTTACCAGTCTTTAATTTTTTGTTCTTTCACTGTAATTTGGAACAACCTTTGGTCTTCATATTCCCTGGCCTGTTTGAGCTCGCCAATCTTTATACAGGAAAAGTACCCAACTCTCCTCCCGCCGCGTTCGAGGTATAGGCGAACTACAAACAGGCCAAGGCACGTGTTGAATGTTTTCTCGGAGACAGGTTAAACGTCGAGGTCTTCGCCTCTTGATATTCTGGACCACTGAAATACCTGAAAACAAGCGAAATTGAAAAACTCGAATATGTTTAATTGTAACTTAATTTTTTCATTTGAATCTATAACAATTTGGCCTATTTAAATTGTTGAACATTAACACATCCTACATTAGAATGTAAGTAAACGGAATTAACAGTTTGGCCAACAAAATTTTTAACTTTTGTGAATATTCGTCGAGTAATATGTTTCTAAAGTTATTTGGGAAATATTTTTTTTTTTGGAAGATATA